AAAAAAAAAAAAAAAAAACAAACAACAGATGTTGGTGTGCTTAATACACTAGAGTTCCTAGAATGAGGACTAGTCTGCGCTATGAAAGTTAATGGACTATGGACAGAAAGTGGTGTTTCAGGATTCGAACCGGTCGAAAAACGTGAACTACATCGTTTTCTCTAAAAGTTAAAAGAAATTTCAAAATCGTAGTTTTAAATACCAGTTGTTTTCTGAAATCTGTGTTTAAAAATTCAAAATATTCATTTGTGTTTGGGAGGCAATAAACATAACTGGTAGTTTCATTTGGGCATAAAAATATTCTTGAAAATTACATTAAGTGCGAAAATTCTGCCTCTCATGAAATTGAGAAAAAGTAATAAATATAACATTTAGACAGCTAACAAGTGAATGAATGTTTTCTGATTTCTTTTTCTTGCAGTCATAATGTCTAGTATTTTTAGTTTTATTATGAGGAAGGTTCAACACAATATGAAACAAAAGTATTTGTTAAGACCCCCACACTAACGAAGAATAGAAATAAGATGATAGCCTTATAATTCCGAAAACTTAATGGAAACATCAGTAACAAAAAATTCAAGAAATCTGAAAATTAATTCACATTAATTTGATACTTACTTGCACTGATAACTGGGAGTAATGTGAAGTCCAGCTCTTTAATGGTGAAAAATATTCAAGGAATAAAGGTATCTAAATCCCACTTACTTCAGAATCAAGTCGCCGATTAACCACAGCCATGTAATACGACACAGCTTGATAAACAAAACGATACTGCTGTTCAGTTTGTACCATACCCGAACGTTGCTCACGAACCATTTGCACAGTACGTGGTATGTCAATTTGGCAGTGTGTTCCTAAACGTTAAAGATCATATTTTGCTTAAAGTTCGGAATAGGAGAATCCGAAACTAAGGTACAAAAGAACTGACCGAGACGTTTAATTTGGTTGAGGAGAATATCAATAACAATAAACGTTCCCGTACGCCCAATGCCAGCGCTGAAATTGTTCTTAAATCAGCCAAAAAGCAAAATTGAAATTATGAAATATTATGAAAAAAGTATGGTGTAAGAAATCTTGTAATACTAAGATCTAACAAACTTTTATGCTGACACATAAAGAGCTTAATTCAAAATGTCATAATATACCATTAAATGAAATTACTGCATTCGAATCAAAACTTTAAAACCACTAAAGTGCTGACCTACAATGTACGATAATCGGACCGGTGTTTTCATCACAGTGTTCTTCTTCACACTCGTTCACTTTTTCAAGGAAATGTAAAACGATTCGCGGGTCTGTTGGACAGCCATGATCCGGCCAAGCAAGGAACTGGAAATGCCAAATCATTCGAGTTTCATTATCTGTAAATTCAAACATGAATATAAACCGAAACATTAAAGTATTCAAATTAATGTGAATTAGCTTCCAAGCAACTAACAATAAGAATGTTAAATAAAATGAAAATCATGTTAGATAAAATGAGAATATACTTTGATCTGCATTCACGAACTGGATCACACGCACTGTATAGTCTGCATTTTCAATTTCCTGCAAAATAATTATGCCCCAACGTCATAGTTTAGATGTTGTTCTAATTTGAAAAGAACAAACAGAAGCGATGTTAGATTATTAGAAAAATAATATCTTTAAGGATGAAAATAATTATTACTTGCACCAACTGAACGATTAATTCTCCATTCTTTCCAAACCTTTCTATTTCGTTTCTGAGAGGCCAATAACGGCAACATTTAATCTAAATAGAAAAGCAGTATACAAGAGTGAAGGAGGCTTTCAAATCCTTTTTCTTTATAATGAGTTCTTTTTCCTAAGAAGAATCAGATCACGGTATATACCACTTAATGTGTAAGAAAACTGCAAAAGAGATAAGTAATAAGCAGGAAGTTATCATGTTTCTGTAAAAAAATAAAAAAAAAAGATCAGCTGATAACACCAAAAATTTCTCAACAGAAGCGAAAAACCAAACAGTTGAAAGTCGAAGTACTATGATTTCAGGTTAAACTATCAAACATTATTCATCAAAATTATTATTTTTCAAATTACCAAAAACGCACTCTCCCTCTTTCTACTTCTTTTGTTGTCATAACGATAATTCGTGAGTTCTGCTGCCAAACCATATTCCAGAAGTCATCAACTGTGTTTGGTAAACAACCCTGTGTTGATATATATCGTCGACGTAACCCAGCAAAATCCTGATATTCATCACCAAGTACCTGAACAAACTTATTTAAATAAGTCTTTCACGATTATTTATCAAACTCCTACAGTAATATCTAAAATTACAAATAATAGGAACACGGATTTTCCACAAACATAGAGATTTGAAATAAAAATTCGTCAGTCAACATAGAAAAGCAGTAATTAACATTTTCTCGTTTTTGGTTTGCTAATACAAATCAGTACTAAAAGCTTTAACGAAATGGAAAGAAAACCTCAATGTGATTAGCATTTATATAATCACCGGAATCCGCATCAGTGCTGTGCAAGACAATTCGAGTATGATCGTATGGTATAATATTTTTGTAACGATTTTTACATACGTTGCTAATTTTTTTTCCTTCACGTCGACTAACAAATTGCGTGGGTTCCTGATGTTGTAATTTCTATAAAGAGTTTTATAGTTATTTTGGAACATAAACGAAATAAAAATAAGAATAGAAACATAAAAAAAAGCAACAAGACATTAGATACTACCTTAAACAGTATTTTTAAGGACAATAAAAGACACAATAAAGAGTTCCAACTTAGGCTTTAATTCCAAATTGGCAAAATTTGCTTTTATGAAGTATTGACATACACATGTTACATTAAGTTTGATATGCATTAAGTTGAAAAACTGTTAGAAAGTTTGTAGTTGTATCTCTAATTACAACTTCCCTCACTGACAGCCACAGACTTTCTGCATCTGAAATAACAAATAAGAAAACCTTTACCTCGAACTCATCTGCAAAACCATCCTTTCCTGTAGATCGATTGACCTGTTCTAATCGATGATAACGGAGATCTATACCAGTTGCAAGGACACGGGTTGAAGGAAGAGGCTAAAAGCTTAAACAGAGATTAAAATTTGGACCATCAACATGATTTACATACACGCTGTCCTTTAATGTTAAGAAATCACTGTGGCCACTATATATTTTACAATATTATGAAATAGTTTGAACTGTCAAAACTAGAAATCGAAACCTGTTTAAGATTAACAACAGTACCAGCTTGATCTACCATTGGGTTTCGTGTATAATGCTCTAAGAGTTCACTGACTGTTGAAAAAGTAGCTCCGCCACCGATATCAAACCTGTCATTCTGTAAAGCACCTCCAAAATATATTATGGTATTTTTTATTACACACTTCAAATGTAAAGAAAATCATGTTAGCTGAATTCTTTGCATGGGACAAATTACTTTATTATATATCATCACGTGTATCACTTTGTCGTCTGCAGCCTTCACAGAAATCGCAAATTGCCCTGGGGAGCTCTGACTTTCTCGAACCAAGTAAGTCCCATGTTTTCCTTCCGAAAGAAGCAGCCGTTCTGCTTCAGGCCCTGACAAACCTGCATGGAACCACCTTTCCGTAGTTGGGCGAGAAAAAGTCCATCCAATGGCTTCCGTTGGTGGTATTATTAAGGAACACCTGAACTTAATGACTATGATCTTCTCTATACTGTTTGCATGTGTACATTTTTTTATATTTCTAAATAATGATTCTCATTCTTTTAAAAATGCCAAGTAAATTTTTAGTCTAGTCAATCTTTAAAAAAATATGATAAAACAAAGCTAGACAAATACCGCACTTCAAAACAATGATTTCACCATCTTTTTCCTTCAGCTGACCAGGATTCTCGATATAAAATTGAACAAGCTCCGAAAGAGATGCAAACGTTTCACCACCATACAAATCCAAGCAATCTCCGTTATTTTGTATTTTGACATGCTTGATTCGATCTCCTTTGCTACAAAACCGTTAACTTATTCACTGCATAAATAACTCAAATTCTTAACCCTTTGCAAATTTCAAACGATTCAAATATTTAAAACATACTGAACAGAAAGAGTGTAATCAGACGGACTGGAACCACTTGGACGAGCTAGAAATGACCCTTCTGTTCCATATGTATTTAGCAGCCTTTCAGCATCTACTCCAGATATTGGGTAATAAAAATTTGATGGCCTAAAACGTACGCATTTATATTTGAAACAAATAAAGGCATAATAAGTGGAAAATCAAAATTTATCAGAGAGAAATCAGTGCTTACTACAATTTTCAGAATATTTATGAGGACTGCGCAATAATTTGCTTTCCTAACACGCCTATTAAGATTGCTATAGTTCTCTTCCAAATGTGAAATTTGCATGAAACCAATTTTTGCTTAAACGTTACTCAAATAAAGAAATATTAAAACCTTGTTGACATGGCCGTTGATATTATAGAACAAATGGCAATGAACTACTTGATAAGCAAGCTATGTCAAACGCATTCTGCTGTGATTGATTTGCTTCACTTCTTGGCAAAGTAAATCATTAACTCGACCTCAAACCTTCGAAATACGTGTTTCTTCTGAATGAATTACTGCATGAAATTATGACAATAACTGCAAATATAAACTATGTATTAAAAAATTAGATGAAAAGCAGTGAGACTTTATATTTCTATGAGCATAAATAAGAAGGCAAACATCCAAGTGCAAGAGAGTGCCATAAAGAGTAGAGATACAATTACAGGTTGCTAGAAACTCTTGAAATGGATGCTTAATACGGTAGGTCGAGTGAAATTCGGTGTCTCAGTATTAAAAATTGTGAGTTCAAATGAAACTGCAATAAATGAAATAACAGTAATAGTAATCTGGAATATAAAGATATTGCACTTTTGATGAATGCTATAATGGTTTCGAAAGTTAGCATAGTATTTCAAATTCCACACGGCAGCCATTGAAAAAATGAATCACTTTTTGGACTAACATTTTGATGCAATTCGTAGAAATACAGTACGCTTTTTATCAATTTATTTTTATGCTCATTAATCTTTGGAAAAGTAAGAAATATCGAGAGTAACTCGTGGAAATGAATTAGTGCAAATTAAGAACGAAAAGAAGAAGATTATTTTCGAAAGAATGAGGAAATACTTATTCGTCACTTGCAAGCGGTCCTGACAAACTACGTGAGAGTGTGTACTGTTGATTATGCATATTTTGCAAACTTGTGCTCTGATTTTTACTACTTTCATGGTTTAATCTTCATGATTTTTTTGCGTGATCTAAGAAATTATTATAGCAAACATTACAGCGAACTGTGATACTTTGCGCAGTTTAGACTACAATAGTTTTTGTTTTAAGGTAACAAATCACTTAAATTTTGGACAACAAATCAAACATCTTTGCGTGTTTCATTATTGGTACGCAGATATATTTGATTTTTTTTTCAAAACTCCAATTTTTTCAAACACCATAATTGCTAGTAACATGAATTCAAGCATGTCGTGGCAGTGGGGTACAGAATTGGATTTGACTGCAGGTGTTGTCTCTTTCAGTTAGACAGCACTGAAGCAACTGAACTTGGAGGGAAAGTTTGTGATACACCAAGTAAATACATGTTAATGTAAATATTCTCATCTTTTTAAATTAGTTGTCAGATGTTGATTTTGAGATTTAAATCACACTTACTTTTATTGGAAGTTTGAAAAGTTTGATAATAAGAAAATATACTTTCTGAGAATTAAAACAGTCTATTTATTTGAAGGTGAACATTTGCTGTAATTTGATAATTAGAATAAATCATCAGTTTGTCAATATGTTCATTTGACAAGAATTTCGAATAAAAGAACAGTTAGTGATTTAAAATTATATGAAAGGTGCTATGCTGCAGTTTGGATCATTGATTAATTATGCGGAAACGGATTAGTATAAAAATTTTGGTATTATTATATTCACTTACTGAAAAACTAAACGAGTAAACGTGGAAACAAATGCAGTGCAATGCACTGACAAATGTTTTTCTTACTAGAACATATCAGATTTTCACAGCCATATGTAAGTCGAATTGTCTTGTTTAGCCATCACAAATCGAAATGGTATAAAGAGCAACCAAACCGCGTTGCCATCTACATACACTAAGTTTGAATAATAGTTATCATGTATGTTTTGTTTGCCTTTAGATTTACAGCTTCACAAAAGATAAAATATACAGACTTGTTAAGGATGGAAAAGTTTAGCAGTGTTGTGAACAACTTCAAAATGGACCTCAAAAATGTCTGAAAATTACAAATTTTATTTTATATCCAAATAAATGATTTTTGCGTACTGTACTGAATATTTGCACAGCTCCGTCTTATGCATCTCCACCTGCTCGTAAATTTATTAGTGATCATTTTATTGTTAAATCAAGCAGATTTTTTTTTTGATAAGATTCCGCAGCATAAACTTGAAAATTATTTTGGGAGCATAGAACTATAATGCAAACTATATTTTTGCTGTTATAATATAATTCAGATAATGTCTCAAATCAGAGCTTGAAAATATTAAAGCTTTGCATTTATGTGCATGAAAAATCAGTAATTTGATAGCAAAAACATTAAAATTGTTCCACGTGAAAATGACTTAACGGATGAATGTTTGCAAGCAAGTAAATTGGCACAAATTTTGATTCTGTGACTCCACTGAATTGAATAATAAGGTACCGTTTACTCCTTTCATCAATTAAAAGCTCTTTTCACGTATTCACTTCCACTCTTGATATTAGTATGCTTTGTTCGTTTTGTAAATAATTTATCTGCTGCATATTTATTGTACAACTTTCAATTGTATCAATTTCTGTCCTAGTTACCATTGTTCTCCGTTTCTTCTGATGTCATTAATAAACAATATAATCTGTTGTGCTTAACACACATTTTAAAAAACAATTTGAAAATTGCCAAGGATAACCACTGCGTCAAAGATTATTGCATTTACACACGTTAACAACTTAATTCTTGTTCGACAAGTGCAAAAAAGGTTTAGCTGACCGACTTCTTTCAAATAATGGATATTTGAATACAGTTATCTTTTATTATCGACCGACAATCTACGTTCGAAGATGTTCAGAGGTTTATTTTACGTGATAGGACAAGAGGTAAGTTGAGAAAAGTCAGCCACTTGTATCGAAATGTGCATTGAATGGTTAGCGTTCTTGGAAGGAGCTCAAGAGTATAAATAAATACCTTGAAATATTTGAAGACAGGACTAGAGCATCCCATCCACCCGTAAAAGCAATAATACAACCCGAGCGGAGACTTTAGTGAAGATTGAGCGATTATCCAGGGCCCTTAACACGTAATTACCATGTCTAAAGACTAGGTTCAACCTCATAGAAAATCCAATCGTCGAAAACGTATTAACAGCGCAAAAGGCGCGAAATTGAAAAGATAACTCGTCATGCGAGGCTATATAAGATACGTAGAAATGAGGCAGCCTCAATGTCAGATTGATCAATGTGGTCACGGTTCGGAAATATCACCCCGCAGGATGAAGCGCGATAACAGTCCCATCAAAGACAGAAACACACTTGGAACTGAGAAAAGCATATACACATTGTAGAAAACGTGTGAAGACGATAAACCAGTTACGTGCCAAATTTCATCCTTGGTAGAAATGAGCAGCACTGCCAATATCTCAGTTAGTGCCGTACTTTATTCCATCAGATATAATTTATATACAGGAATATACATACATGTATATCTTTTTTAAATACACGAAAAAATTTTTATATATTACGAACAGCAGCATCCAACGTTATTACTGCAAGACCAAGCTGACGAGTATGGACGGAATCAACTATTTACTAATTTGCATCGATCGAAGTGTATGACCAAATATTACCAAATGATGTTAACGATATCTTCACAGTTGTCTGCATAACTTGATGGTATTTCATACTTGGTCACATCTTGTGACATAAAAATTCGTATTAGTAATTCGAACCTTGTGACAATTGATTATGACTTCATAATAAACGATTGCAAATGCGTCGCAAAAATCCTAGTGCGCCAAGAGCATAAGCGTCCCTCTAATGTTGAAATATTCCAAACTACCGCTCAAAGTTGTAAGTTTTTTGCTTTATGAATTTTTTTGATTACTTGCTACTATTTGATATAATTGATGTGTATATACTGAAATCACAGAAGTTATGGCTGCAGTATTAACCCACCACTATTGAGCAGCAACGAACGACATTGTTTGAAGAAGAATTAATTGAGCAGCAGGGAGCTATATTGCTGGACTTACATTTTGACGGAGATATTTGTCAGCTTGCAGCTGGCAATAATCATTTATTGATTCTAACGGCAAATGGAATGGTTTACAGTATGGGTACAGGTAGCAAAGGTGAACTTGGTCATGGTACTGTATGCAGTGAACAAGAGCCAAGATTGGTGGAGCATTTAAGACCGATCAAAGTGGTGCAGGTGGCATGTGGTGCATGGCACAGTGTTGCTTTAACTGATGGTGGTGAAGTATATGTATGGGGTTGGAATAAATGTGGACAACTGGGTGATAGTTGTGAACCGAATGAAATTATTGACATTCCGTTTCTATTAGACCTTGATGATTGTGTCATCCAAATTCATGCTGTAGGTCATGCCACATTTCTGAGATGCAGCAGCAACTCGACACTTGCATTTGGTAAAGCGGATTTGATTTAACTTTTTAGACGAGGACGATCCTTTCGTCTCTTTGATGATTGCTTACTGTACAGTATTGTTTGTAATAAATTCCAAATCAATGCTCTTGCAACTTTCAGTTTCCAGTGTAATAAAAACGTGAATTCATACAACGCTTCAAAGTACGGCAGCCTTATGCATATTTCATTTTTGTTGGTAAATAAATGAGTAGCTAAATCAGGTAATTGGAAAGGTTGACAAAATGGATGATTGGAGGGAGCGAACCACTTTTCCGGCAGCTTAACTACCTGAATTTTTCTTCGGAAGAATTTCGAATTTTGTTGTGCTATAGCAATGCCAAATAAATTTGTAGCTAATTGCTCACCCTCAATTTGTGTTCACAACTGAACATGATAGCCAATGATGCTGCACCGTGTACACATATGTCTGTTTTTATAATTTTGCAGTTTTTTGTCAAAATTAGTGTAATAGATTTTGAGTCACATACCTAATAAAACTTCAGTCTCTTTTGTTCTGAGAGTGAGTTAGAAATTCGTGACAAGTTATTGTTAGACTGTTCTCAGACAGATGAAATTTGTGCAACCGCTGTGTGACATAACTTTTGGTCTTACTGAATTATCGTGACATCTCGAAATTATGTATGCCGATAAAATTGTTTCATGTTGCATAATAATGCAGCTTTCTTGTCAATAACAATTGCTGTTGCAGTTATATTTACATGTTTTTATTAATTTTCTCACAAATACATTGCTAAGAAGTGTACACACATTACCATATTGTTTGTACAAAAGTAAAGAAGAACAATATAATAGATTTTGACAAAGTGGTATCTGAGTAGATAAATGATAAATGTCTTGTTTTTAAGATATGTGGCTCACTGAATGGTTTCAAGTGAGAAATTTTATAACAATTAGATTCTAATTTTTATGGATGATTAACAAGAAACACTTTAATGAACAATCTATCACAGTGAAGTAACGATATGCATCAAATTTTATAATTCAATTAGAGTTTGCAACCTTGAATGTTGGTATAGCTATCCAACATTAAGGTTTTAAAGTGTTAAAGTACAGATTTATAAATACAATAAAGTGAATTTGCATGAAAATAATCATTTCGGAAATTCTCGGACTTCACTTTACAAAAATGAAGCAAAATATAAAAATTACAATGAATTAACGAAAGAAAAATTAGTGAACCGATCTAGTCATTGGTGGCAATCCCCAATCGACGCATGTTTCTAGCCGTAGGTTATAATCGCCTTGGTTCACTCTCACTGAAGCCTGTAAGCATGTCTTTCCTCCTACCATTGCAACATCGAACATGTTGCTCTACACTGTAAAATGTTTGGTTTGAAGACAAAAGCTGGACAAATTCAATTTATTAGTTAGTTTGCTTGGAGAAAAAGTCTAAAAATAGCAAAGTTATTCTAAAAAAATTCATATTTCCAAATATCGCAGTACGACTTCCAAGTTCTCTCGTCAGTAAGAAGACCGTGACTGTAAAAACTCTGTATTGTGTTTCATTCACTAAGAATATTTAAAATAGGACGAAAAATGTCAAACTTATGGGATCATAAAATTCTTAAAGCCGTAAATGAATTCAAACATAAATTTTTTAACCTTTCCCATTTATTTCGGCAATCAATGGATTGCAATTTGTACAGCCTTTCAAACATAATAAAAATTACTTTAGTTGGAAATATGTGGGCAAATACATTTATTTCATTTCTGTATGGTGTATCATTTCGAAAAATTTGAATAATAACAGGTAAAGTGTACTTACTTTTGTTCTAAAACCAAGAATGTCAGAAGCACAAGAGAGCTATTTCCAGCTCAACATTTCGCTCCTGACATGGGAAATACAGTTCTTAATGTT